TGGGACATGTCATTTACAAGCACTCTGATTTCAGTTTACAACTTTAAAATGGCACCCAGCAGATGTGTTACATCATATAAAAACACCCTTGTAGAACAGCTCCAATCTGCCTTTTTAAACAGCGAGGCGTGTTAAAGGATTTGACCCAAATACGTCCACCCAGGTCCCTGGTGACCCGAGCCTGCCACTGCGATACTGCCACGGACGTGACTTTCCATTAGTGTTGACAGGGAGGCAGTTTATAGCAGCGAAGCCCTGTGGAGAAGCAGGTTAGCTGTAATTATTCAGCTGATAGGTTATGAGCAGAGGAGGCCTGTCACACCTCTCCTGGCTCCCTGGACTGAAGGAATCAGAAGCCAGGAGGAGTGTTTGGTTATTAGTCTGACTGGCAGGTTTCTCCCTAGAGAGAGAAACTGCACTTTCACCAGGAGTCATTTCATGTTTCATTTTAGGACTCTTTGTGTCTCATCTCCAACATGCGACTAATACTTCTATTAGCCTGGTTAACACACATGCTAATAAGTTGCTTTTTATCCTGACCTATTTCTACAAACATATTTTCCAGAAATGAAAGATAAAAGCTGACACTGAAGAAGGAAGATAACTGAAGTCAGGGCAGAATTCAAATATAATTTTTTGTTTCAGCTTTTGTCTCTAGCTCACATCTATCTTTCTATTTCATGCTGCCTGATGTTCATATCACATATCATCAAAAGGAGTGGGTGCAATTTGCAGGGTCATTATATGATGGAGGTGAATGTGGAGCTGGATGTGTTAGAAATGCAATTTAAATGACAGTGGGTCTCTCCCCCTTTGTAAAATTGACTCGACACAGTGCATTACACATACAGCTCCAGAGTCTCTCAGTAATTGTGAAGATTACCCACCATTCACTTCTGATTGTGTCTGCATCTGTTTAGAGTTTGAGATGTCAAAGTTTCAATCACACGTCTTTTCAAACAGCTCTCACAATGAGGAGCAGACAGTGAATGAAAATATTCTATTTACTCAAAACGTGTGCCAGCCTGTCACTTCAAACTGCTTTCACTTCAGAGCGGCACAATGAGCAACGAGTGTCTACCATCACTTCTTAAAGCTTGAATTAATTGTGTGGAAAATTATTGTTGATCTCAGTGATAATCAAAACACATGCAGCCATTCAGATTTATAAAGCAACACAAAGAACAATGGGGAAATTACAGTTTTCTTTGATGTTTATGTAAAATTTTTCTCAAGTGAGAAGTCACCTCAATCTCTGATATTTATTTTGATTTTCTGAAGTTATGAAAGCAGAGGAGGTTCTGATGAGATTTAATCCCAGGCCAGAGAGAAGGGACATTAATTAAACGAGCAATGAGACTTATATAAATGTATTTATTTATATGTTTGTAAGTGTGGGGTGCATCCTTAGCTTTATTGTCTTTGTCTCTGTCAAGCAAATTGCAAGTGCATTTCCCATCATGTTCCCAGTCATCAAATCAATATACAGTATGTACAGTATAAGTACCAAATTTAATTTTTTAAAAATATAAAATTAAATAAGAAAAAAAAGACATAAAAAAATGGGTGCAATGTAACTATGAATATGAAAATATCACAATATAAATATTAAAAATAATCTAGTATAAATACATTGAGTTGTGAATGAAATGTGGTATAAAATGTATATAATAATAATAATAAGACATTTTATTTATAAGCGCTTTTCTAGATAAGACACTTTACATAAAAACATAAAA